GAAAAAGATATTTGGGAGATGCCTGATATTTGATTGACATTAAAGATTGAATTCAACTACAGTTGGTTCTTTCATGGCACATGAAAGCTGCAACCATGTGTGAATTCTCCAAGCAGGAGTTCATTGGTGGATTACAATCTCTCGGGTAAGCCTAGGTTAAGACTTGTTGACTTCTATAGTATTATCTCTTTTATGCTGTCATGTTTGATCTAATGAAGCTGTCTCCTGAATGGCAGAATAGATTCATTGGAAAAGCTCAGAGAGAAATTGCCATTTATGCGATCAGAGATGAAAGATGAACGTATGTGATGACACGGAAATTTCTTTATGTTGTCAAAGAAGTTTTTGCCTTGTTTTGATAGTTTCTTATATCAACTCTAAATCTAGATACAAGCTCTTTGAACGTTTTGATCTTATTTTGTTTAATCAGATGAGAGGTTTCTGACTTTTAATTTTTTTTATTTTACTTTGTTTCAGATAAATTCCGTGAGATTTACAACTTTGCTTTCAGCTGGGCAAAGGAGAAGGTTTGTCTTACTTGATCCCTCACCTTCCTGTTGCTAATTCAAAGGACGTTTGAGTTTTTCCTCGTTTAAGTTAGGAATATTTAGGCTTCCTTTCCTTTTTTTTTTAATCCCTCTTTTGTGCATTGATTTCATATTGTTAAATACCAGTAATATTGACAATGGTATCTATGAAACAGCAACAAGTCACTTGTTCAATGACCATTTTGAAGTGTTTCCTTTTCTTTTCTCTTCTCTCTTTTCAGTTACCAAGATCCAATCTAAGTTTCTCAATTTTGTACCACAGTACTGGAGATATTTAAGCCTGTATACCACTTAGTCTGACTAGCCGTATTTCAAAAGCTACTTGGCGTTTTAGCTTGTATCAAGCATCTTTAGGTATGATTGCTTTTAACTCTTAATGCGGGTTCAGATGCATAAGAGAATCTTAAACAAATCAAACTACCTTTTTCTTGGGCTGTCACTATTCTCCAATAGTTTTGAATTCCAAAGGAAAATTGTTGTTAACTACACATGGCTTTAACAACAGGGGCTTATTTTCTTTTTTCCTTTTTTGGTGAGAAAAGTCCAAATATGAGATCTACTTCTTTGGTAACTGCCTTGAAAGTTTTAAATGTTATAAGTGGATGACATGTCAATGCATGCTAGCCCAAGACAAAGCATGGGAGAATAATGACTTTTTGGTCAATGTCAAAGCTTGTGTTTTGCTAGTAAACCAAGAAAAAGTATAAAGGTTTGATTACTCAACCATTTCCTTGACCTCTTAGATGAGTAACTCAAAATAATTAGCAGAATTCAGAACAGATATTGATAGTTTTTTTTAAATGACCATGGTGTCCACGTCAATTTTTGTGCACGTCGACTAATTCCACAAGATACCTGACACCCCCCTAACTCTGTCCACCTGAGACCTCATGACTTCCAATCACTCCATTGACCACTAAGCCACACCCTTTGGTGCGATAGTTTTTTTTTAATGTCATCTGAAGTTAGTTATTGGAGCCCTGGATGGATTATCAGTAAGTTGTTTCTCCAATGTTTTTGGATAGAGAGGCTGGATATGTATCTAAGATAAGCAAATGTGCCCCATAATTGTGGTCATTTTAACACCCTTCTGGTTTTGCATTGTGAAGATGTTTATTCTAGTTTAACATATGTTTACCATTCTCAAAAAGAAAAACATATTTCAATCCCGGGTGATGTGATATGCAATGAGGTATATCCTGGTAGATGAGAACTGCAGGGTTGATATATATGAGAAATAGTGTTGCCTGTATGAATTTTTCTCTTTATCTCAATGATGGTAAAGGGGAAAATGGAAAACAAATATTGGTCAGTCAGAGATGTTTACAAAAAATGCTCATGTCTGCAGTCCTTCACATAAGAAACTGTATAACGTTAAAACAACTCTGTAACAGATAGCTGTGATGATCAAAACTGCAAAATGATAAATCTCAAAAATCCAATTTGCAGCACCTGTTTTTGTGTTCTGCTCTTCGTTGCTTTATATTAGTTCTACCTACTGTTTTCTTCAACCAGCAAGCTCTCAGTATTTAGCCTGATGTCTAACATTATTAAATTGTGGTGTTTTGGGAGGAGAATTTCTGAAGTTTCTCCAGTTTGCCTTTGTAATTGGAAGGGAGTAGGAGTACAGTGTCATTTTCTTAGATAAGAACCTCTTCTTAAATTTCAGGGTCAGAAATCTTTGGCCTTGGACACGGCTATTGGGATGTGGCAATTGCTGTTTGCTGAAAAGGAGTGGCCATTGGTTGAGCATTGGTGTCAGTTTTTGCAGGTAATTGAAAGGACAGGAAGTGCTGAGTTTTGTTGTTCACTGGATTCTGTTGAAATGCATGTCTCCAGATGATTTCTCTCTTTCCCTTTGTTTCTTCTTCTGTATCTACTTTGGTCTTTATTACCACAAACTTAATCTGATCTGTTCTTAGAAGTGATTGTCTGCTTGCTATAACACACCTCTACTCCCTACTTTGATCTTCTCCACGTAATTCAGGCAAGGCATAACAAGGCTATTTCACGGGATACTTGGTCTCAGCTCCTGGAATTTGCAAGGGTAAGTTACTCTTCATCTACTTTAGAGTATTAGCTTTTGAACTCACCCACCATACATCCGTTACCACGTCCCCATATTCCTTCTCTTGCGCCTGTCTTCATGCTAAAGTTTTACATCAGTATATATTACCTAAGTTGATATTTGTAATTATCAATGCAGAATGTGGACCCTGCATTAACAAACTATGATGCTGAAGGAGCTTGGCCATATCTTATAGATGAATTTGTCGAGTACTTGACTGAAAATAGTATTGTCCAAATTGGTCAAATGAGTGATTGGAGCCAGAAAGGCTGATGGTTTGACCCAGTTGCTACTGTGCTGTGTAATGTTATTGTTTGTTGTTTGAACTGTTTACAGTTTTCATGAACAAATTCATGTACAAAATACGCGAGGAAATGACTACTCTAAATGCAAAGTTATTGTTGACTTGATTTGGATTTCTTGGATAAATTATAGACTTGTACATGGGACGCGCCCCCGGAGAAGTAAAAGATGGAGGAGCCAATGTTACTTAATGACGCTTGTCCAACAATATAAGAATCTCAAGCTAACTTCCATATTCTATTAATTGTCTCTCACTCTGCGATGAAACTAAAACTCCACAGCCATGTCAAATAAAAGGACTTTTATTTGCACTAAATTTTGCAACATCATCTGGCTGTTTGTTCCTGTATTCATTTGGTTGCTGCAACCAATGCCATGTGCTCTATGAGGTCCAACAGTCTATTACTGCAAAATTAAAATAAAGGTCCAAAAGAATAAATAATGTTCATGATTATGTGATGCTACAAGATTACGATAAGTTTCTATGCTTTTCATATTTCCAACTAAATGTTTGTTATGTGGGAATTGGGTAGAGGAGCCCTTTAATAGATAAATTTTATTGCCCAACTAGAGATACCAATTGCATCTTCAACTTGTTCAAGTGTAGATGTTGGTTGTTAGATAAAATTATTTCAAAGTGTGATTGAGAATATAATGTGCAAATGTGCTGTGCTAGGCGCTAGCAAATGTTAAATTATTGAGAGAAGCAAATACATACACAGCTCTCCTGTATCAATTAAAAGAAAATTTGTAAGCAAATATATATATATATAGCAGTACCACCTTCCACTGATGATAAAATACCAATTATTTTACTAAATATAATATAGTTATTCCTTGCGAAATTCCTTTTCTTAATACCCTTATTTCCCTTTCATCCTACTAAGCAGAATTCGTAAACTATGCAAAGGCTCTTTGAAGACTTTTTCAAAAGTTTTTAGCTGCCGTAACTTGCGCCGAGAACTTGAAAGTGAATCATTTGGTGGGGTGTTCATAGAACAGAAGGCCTCGCCCAAGGAGTGGCAGATTTGGATGGAGTCTCGCTCATAGAGGAAGAGTACGCGTGCTATACAGTCAGATGCATAATTGATCTCACTGAGGAAAACATTTGATTAATATATACTTGGATGACTTCCAACAGTTTTTTTTATTGTAGCGTGATTGATATCATTTTAATAGAGTTAAATAAGTTTTTTCTTTTGAGTTTATTTAATCTAGCACGTGAGTTTATTTAATCTAGCACGTAAATAAGAAAGAAAAGTTACTAATAAAACAAGAAAAGAAATTTGTTTTTGTGGATGTGTTAATGTTACCTGTACACATATGGATATTTTTAGAATTTGAAACAAAATTATCACCAACAATAATCCAAATAATATGCATCCTCCATTCAAATGGTTAGGCAACAGATTCTATTACATCTTTACATGTACATATATGTATTTCTCGGGTTAAATTTTATCAAGAGTTAAGCAAAAAATAATTTCATATATGCTCAAATACAAACACTTTGTGAGGACAACTTTCTGAGAAGAAATTAATATAAGAAATGTCTATAAATTTAAATCTTTGTGGGTGTGACATCTTCTCTCTTTCCTTTTTTATAACCCTAAAATAACATATTTCAAATCCAACAAATTTACAACCAACAATCATAACAAATCTGAAGTCAATATTAAAAAAAAGAAGAAGAGGGAATTCATAAAAATAACATTAAGAATAGATAAATACATATATATACATAGCATAATGAGAAAAAAGTGAGAGTATATATATTTATTAATATAACAGACAAGTACAATTTTGAATTTTACTGTTCTTCTTCATAAGCTTAATTTGCTCTTTCTCTCCTTCTCCATAAGCTTAATTATCTCAATATCTATCTCCTTATGAATGCAACAATGATCAAAATTTCTTGCAAAACAACTTTAATAATATTCTAAAAATAAGCCATCAAATTTACAAATGAGCAATGATGGATCAACAAACACGAAAAAATATAAAGCACACAAACGTTTCCTAAACACGTGTAGGCAAGTGTGAGAGTCCAAGTCCAACTAACTAACTAACTAATGATTTCTTTTCCTTCCTACGTACACAGAGGGAAGAAGGAAAAAGCAAAAGGAAATAATCAAATTATCTCATTGTCATTGATCGGAGGCAAAAGAGGCTCTCTCCTCTCTTCCTCCGATCATCATCTGGTACTCTTACCTTCTTCTTTTTTTTTTCCATTGAAAATGTCGATTTGTAACAACATATTACATTAATTATTACTTGCAGATCATCCTACATTATATTTTTGGGTAATTAATGGCTTCGGTTAGCTTCAAATACTGGGATGATTGTGTCGATCCTCTTGATCTGGAAGCTATGTGGCTCGATCCAGAAGTTAGAGCCGAATGGCTTAATGCCGGAGAAACTAAGGGATCAAAAGTCCACCTCTCACGTGATCCTGATGGTCAGCCTTATCTAACACAAACAGAAATGAAGGTTCTTTTGTTTTGTTTTACACAAAACTATGTCCTGCCTGCAATACCTATTTTCATTTTCACAATATTGTGTCTTTACAGGCAGTAGCAGCTATTATTGTCCGTAGGCATTTTCTATCGCAGATTGATTTGGTCAGTATTAATTTCTATTCAATTGGAGGTGCTATGATAGTTTAAATGTGGATGAGATAAATTGACGACTCTAATCATTTAATTACTATATCAGACCTTTTTAATATAATCATCAACAACCGAAGCACTCACAGTTTTTTTTCCTCAAACTTGAATGTGTCACTACTTCTTGATATATATATATATATATATATATATATGAATATATATTTGATGGAGAGTTTTCGGTGTATGCTAATTTTTCTACCATTACACGCTTTGCACAAGTTGCATTCCTTGGAGTATAAGTCTCAACTTTTTACAAGTACATGATTTTATTCCCCAGGACCTTTAATTTCTTTGTCTCAACCTGCAATTATTGTTAGGTTGCTCAGTCAGAGGATGAATCATTGAGTTTAGAAATTATCAACATTCTATGAGTGTCCTTCCTATATTTTCAGGATATGCTTTGCGCTATTGCTGAGATTGAAAGTGACCGCCAGCTTCTTGCAACACGGTACAATAAAAAGTCAAAAGAGATTACTATGGGAATTATGCAGATTTTGCCAAAAACTGCAGACTGGTTGGTGAGGTATTTGAGTTTCTTTTCTCTTCTTGAGATTCTGGGGTATTATTCAGATGTTAGTATGTTACCAAAAACTGCGGACATGTCTTCTTTTTTGATTGAAGTAAGCTTAAGTTACAATTTGTTTCAGTGATTTGGGTTACCGAACATATGAGGTGACAATGGATTCAAAACTTCTTTACAAGCCTTTTGTAAATGTATATCTTGGAGCTGCATATCTTAAGTGGTTATCAAATTATGAACAAAAGTAAGTTCATATGCTTATTTGTTCTTGTACTATCTTCTTTCAGTTTCATGTATTAGTGTTGAGGAATCCTAAAGATATTGTACCCAAATGCCTAACTGTGGAGCTTTATGAGCAGAGAGAGAAGTGAAGAGTTCATGGTGAGAGCTTACAAGGGTGGTACTAAGAAGGCAACTCACAAGTCCACTTTACCATTTTGGAGAAGTTATCTCTCCGTCAAAGAGACCCTACCATCGAGGTAGTTGTTCACATGCCATGATATCATTTCAGTTTCATCATTATTTTTTCTAGAGTTAAAATGGATCAAGGACAGGAATGTGCACCCTTGTGGTACTCTATGGTTTAATGTAGTGGGCTTTATATCATATAAGTAAGTTGTTATGCAGAAGAATGCTGCCATAGGGATTATACCTTTTCTGTAAAAAAACAATTATGGTCTTTATCATCTATTGACATTCTGTAATTTCATTGCTTGTAGTCATACTAAAAGAATTGAATATACTATTTACAGAAGTTTCTCTGTGAACTAATTTCTTGAGTTCAGTCAGCTCTAGTATTGTCAACAACTCTCTACATATGATACCAAATGACTCAACATGATGCCAACTTAGCACTTCGATGCACAAAATAGTGTAATCTCAAGTGATACTCCAGAGAGAAATCAAGGTCTACTAGAGTTCATAAACCTCCCTATTAGAAGAACATCAGGTCTTACCAGACCAAAGGAAGCATAGTTTGAGGAAGTGGCCTGATCAAGATCTTCATTGCTGGACTAATTTGGAAGGTTACTGTAAAGTCTTGTGAGTATTTCAAATGGAGGTCCTTGTATATTGTGACATCCTGATGAGTCTTACACAGAGACTTGATCTTCAATTCGCAAGATATAAAGAATCTGCTGTACAAATCAAATAAGGTTGGGTTAGAGTCAAGTGGAAATGAAGCTTAGAATTGTCGTAATCTCTTATGAACAGTCTGCTTATCATGTCTAGCTTCTGATAACGTGGTATTCCAGAGAGTGCTATTTGAAAATTAGGAGTTAAAATAGCAAGGATGTGATGGGAGCATCTGTCTATATTCTCAAGCCTTCATGAGCCATATCCAGAGTTTGATCACCTGTATGCAATCATGGTAAAAGGGGCAGCCTGTGACACCGTATTACGCATGTGAAATTTATGAATCTTTCATCAGTTTTCTTGATTGATAACACTGATGATCACCATTTTTATCATAGTAAGCAGCAGGGAAAGTCATGCTCATGGTCAAAAGGGTCATCTGAAAACTAGTGACAAAGCCAAGACATACTCTTATTATGCTCCTTGGGTTCATGAGAAGGCTAAATACTAGTGTAGGGTAGGCATACTCTTATTAGGCATCTTAGGTTCATGAGAAGGTTAGATACTAGTATAGGTTAGTCTTATTAGACACCTTAGGTTTATGAGACGGTTAAGTACTACTGTAGGTATATGATTGAATGTGTTATTATGCAAGATTACTATCTTCTTGACAATTTACACGAACTGAGTAGATACTTTTGTTTGTCCATACTGCCATTTGTTAATATGTAAATGGATTATGTATTGTTTCTAATAAATGCTGTACTACAATTGACTTTTGTAGGAAAATCTTTGACGTCAATCCTTTGCCGCCTACAGCATCTGCAACTGGAGTTCCTGAAAAGAAAGGTTGTGTGAGCATAACTAATAAAACATTCATTCTCTCTCTCTCTCTCTATATATATATATATATGTGTGTGTGTGTGTGTGTGTTTTCTTGCAAAGCGTGTATAACCATTTATATGAGAATGTACAGTATGATAGCTTAAATGTTGTGGGAAGGGCCTGAAGCCAGATTACATTCTCTATATCACTTCATTCAATGCCATAAGCATGTGAAAAACTAGTATATTTGTCCAATTCAGTGTGTGTCAATTTTTTAATGGCTATTGAGACTTAAAGAGAAGAAAATTAGCATAGTTGTCATGCAACACTTTGTGTGCTTGGACATTCTACAGCTATAGAGGATAATAAAAATTTAGCATGGTCATCATGAGACACTTATGTGGGAATATTTTATGTTATCTGAAAGATAGTTGATAATTGATGTTTAGAAATAGCTAGCATCACTTAAATGTGATGGGAAGTGCATGAAGTTTGATTACATTCTCTATATCAGTTCATTCGGTGCCTTAAGACATGAAGTGAATTTTTCAGGTATTCTTTTGAATTTATGTCATGGATAGATTAGAGTGAGATCTCTAATTTGTGTGCTCTATAAACACACTTTAATTATGGTAAGATTCCCCAGGCATAACTAGATGAACCATGTAACTTTCCGTGTTTCTACTTCTCTTAATGTATTATTGTATTTTGACTATTATTCTATGATCAGAAGTATTACTTGATCCTCCACAATGTAGCGAATTGTTTCCAAACCTAGAGGCACTGTGTCCATATAGAGGTATGGTACACACTTATTTGTACATTATTATCGTGTCTCCGTAAGTTCAGAATGTTGACACTGAATACGGTGTGATTATGTGAGTTCTCTTGTATGCCCTAGCATGGTGGTTCTGGTGGATCATGGATGTGAGTCAAGTTCACCTGTATCCTTAGGCACTTGTGAGTTCACAACGCGTTCTCCTATGTACCTAATCATTTGTAGGGTTACAATGGATGGAAGAGATCTTAACCTTGTTGAAATTTCTTAGTTGATATTATCCAAGGTGGAGTACTCTTTTGTGTGAGAAAATTCAAATCAAGGTGGGGATTTGTCAGAAAAATATGTATAATCTTTTCTATTAGTATTTGGTTAGTTGCTTGGTTGCAACTTTGAGAAAGTTTACAATTTGATAGACCTTTGTGTAAGATGATGATAATCTGAAGTTAGTTCGTGACTTGATTTCAATGTCAATATCTCACACCCAAGTGATCAAGTTGACAATTCGAACTGGTGAAGGAATCACCTATAGATAGCCACCCTTTCCTCATTGTTACCCTTACCTTTGTTAGCCATGATATTCAAAAGTAAAAAAAATGTAAATGAGTGGTGGGGAGAGTTCTCTCGTAATATGAGGAGTTGAGAGAGTTTTAAGTAGACTTCATGAGTAATATTAAAGAAGTGTTAGGATAAACTTGTACATTCCTTGTCTACTCTTTTCTTTCCAGTATTTTGCTTAGGATTATATTTTAATATTCTATTTTGTGTGTCACAACAATTAGGAATTGAGAATCTATATCTTTGGATCGGAGAAAGGTCTAGCTGTTGGATGAAATTCATTACATAGCTAGTTAGTATATTAAGTGGGTTAGTGGGATCTATAGTTCCATGTATATTCATTTCTGGGTGGTACTAGTATAATTAGCTGTAGCGTATAACAATGTGTCTCAAATTCTGTAGTGTCAACTAAAAGTACCAACTCAATCGTTTCTGCAGGGTAACAATCTCTTATATATATATATTTTTCATTTGGTGAAGGTCCAGTAAATACAACTTGGGACTCTAGAACTTCCGCAGAAGACATGGAAGAAATGTGGAATCATCCCTGTGTGAGCACGGAGTGGAGCAAGTCAGGGGAGAAAAGAGGCCATGTACGGTTTTCTCATGATACTGAAAAAAGACCCTATCTCTCTCGGGTAGAACTGAGGGTAAGAATGCACGGTCAGTATGTGTGAAACTGTACAGTCTAGTAAGAGTTGTTGGATGCTTCCAGTCACGTAGATTATACCATTTGCTTCAATTGTTACAACTAGCTATGTTTTCCAGCTTAAACTATCCATACTAATTGCAGCTTGTAAACTCCATTTTACTTGGATTTTGAGTGTTCTCATTTTTGGGAACTTTGTATGCCTGTTACATCTGTTGAAGGGTTAACGTATAACTTTTGAGATTTTGATGGAAACAGGTTCCTTAACTTAACTCATTAATAGAGTAGTATTAATTTCTGCAAGTTCTAAATTATCCGAATTTCTGACATACCCATCTTGTTGCAGGCAGTTGCAGAAGTAATTGTTTCAAAATACTTTAGCACAAGAGGACTGAAACCTGTAAGTGGATACATCTCTTTTGAGCAAGAAGCTAGTGAAGTTATAAAGAATACAATGTTATTTTAGAATGAAGAGGAACGGTTAAGCTCAATTTGGACAATTAAACAGGAAAAAGTAAATGTAAAACTGTAGAGGGATTTGTTGATAGAAAGAAATTTCAATTAGTTTACAATCTAAAGGAATTATTTTTTCGACCATGTAAAAGGATCCCTCTTCCAGCACTTGGTATAAAGAGGAAGGTTATTTCCTTGTTATTGCAGACTGTCCTGTGTGCTGTTGCTGAGATTGTGACCATGCGTTTTGTTGAGGGAATTGGACAGCGTACTGGATTAATGGGAATTGACTATCCCACGGCACGCTGGCTTTACAAGTATGTTGGTGTAATAAAATGTCATGCAAAAATCTAAGAAGAGGAATGGAATAGTTTTAGTAGTAATGCCTAAAACTATTTGTGTAGGGACCTGGGATACAAGGGTTACAAAGTGGAGTCCGTTGAGGATCTTACAAAGCCATTTGTTTCCATGTACTTTGGCGCAGCGTATGTGGCTTGGCTATCAGAGTACGAGGGAAGGTAAGTCGAATTGGAACTATGGGATTACTTACCACTAATATTACAATCCATCCATCTTATCTACTTTTACTGTTAGAGAAAGGAGTCTCCAGTTTCTTGTCCAGGCTTATCTTGCTGGACCCCAGAACGTGAACCTGCAGGAGACTGGTCCTATGTGGCTCAGATTTGAGGAAGCACTGAGCCGTTATGAAGATTTAAAAAAGTAGGCATTCACGTTTTCAATCAGTAGACTATTTTCTGATTGACTGACCAAATGTGTTTGGTTTGTGTTTTCAGGGAAGCAGCAGGTAGTTGTAATATTTTGTGAGCTCCAACGAACTATCTTTAGTTGCGTAAAAAGTAAAATTAATATCTGCAACAGCACCACCACTCCAATGTACAATAACTCATCCACTACTCATTTGTATTTATTCCTACCTCTGTAAAATATTATTTCTCATTTACTATTATGCTGAGAAAATTCGTATACAGCTTTTGTTTGAAATCCCAATCCAACTTTATTACTTCTTTTCAAATGAACTGTCAAACATTATTACGAATTTAAAAGTATACCAACTACTCTTAGGAAAATAGGTGGATCTAAGAATTAAAAATGGGAATTGGGAATGGATCTAATAAATGAGTGATGAGTTAAAAATTCCACTATCCAATATTACTATTATCAATCAATTAATAATTTTATATTTATTTTGTAAAGATATTGTATTTATCATTTTTTTTAAAAATATGCAAGTCAGTATAATTGGATAGATGGAGTATATTTAAAAAAAAATTGTCTAGTTTTAAATGATATTAATTTTATTTTTTAATATTTAAATGAATAATTTATATATAAAATTTCAGAGAGAATAAATTTGATCATATCTAGTAACACAGTAAAATTATGGTTGGAAGTCGTGATCCTAAGGAATGGGATATTTGTTTATTTATCTATGCCTAATAAAAACAAGGTGTGGTGAGGATCACGAGACGTGTGGCGTTTTGACCACAACTACATATCTTATATATATAATTGCCACACTGACTCAAAAGACGTTTTTGTGAATTGAAAGCAACAAGGGAAAAATGGAGTGCGCGTCTCCTTTCAAATCAGACATACTCAAAGGGAAAGTAGCACTGTTGACCGGAGGCGGTTCTGGCATCGGCCTTGAGATCTCCACTCAGTTCGGCAAACATGGTGCCTCCGTTGCCATCATGGGACGCCGCAAGGCCGTCCTCGACTCCGCCGTCTCCTACCTTCAATCCTTTGGTATTCCGGTAACTACTTTTATCTCCTTAATTAGGTGATTGATCACATGCACAAAATGCATACATCATTCGCATTTTGATTTGATTATATACCGAGCTCCCATCATGAAATTGAAACCCTAAACAACATATAATCTTCAAGACTACCGCTTTTATTGTGTCTAACTTTCCTTTGCACATCCCCTAGGCAATTGGCTTGCAAGGGGACGTCCGCAAGCAAGAAGATGCAAAAAGAGTTGTGGAGTTAACTGTCAAACAGTTTGGGAAGCTCGACATTCTTGTTAATGCTGCAGCTGGCAATTTCCTTGTGTCTCCTGAGGATTTGTCTCCTAATGGCTTCAGGACAGGTTTGTTTCATGTCTTTTAACACTCAACTACCATTCAATTAGGATGTAAACATGATCTCATAACAACCATTTATTACATCTTCACATAATCATATATATTCTCTTTTAGTGGGTTGCTTTACTTAGAAATCGTTAGAATCAGCTTCTTCAGAATGGCTAGTCTAGGTGATTCAAGGTTCAAAGGCTGAGAGCTTGGTTAAAGAAGCTGACTTGTCATGAGTGAAAAAAGACCTTCTGTGTTGTCAATTTGTCTTACTCTATTTTCCTAAAAAAAGAGTAGAAGAGAAAAGCTTATTGTCTGTTTCTCCATTGATCTCTTGGGCTTATCGAAGCTTCTTGAGGAGGTTATGGAAAGAAGGTTGAGTGCTTGTAGTAAAAAAGTATAGCAAGTCATTTTCCTCTCTTAAATTTGAAGTGAGGGAACGCTTTCACAGATTACATACTGATGATGACTTTTGCAGTACTAGATATTGATTCTGTTGGCACATTCACTATGTGCCACGAGGCACTTAACTATATCAAGAAAGGGGGACCTGGGAGGAGTTCAACATCTGGTGGAATGATATTGAACATCAGTGCTACTTTGCATTACACTGCATCTTGGTATCAAATCCATGTAGCTGCTGCCAAGGTTTGGAACTTTTGCTTCAAGCATAGTTTGTGTTCGTTTTTATTGTGTTATAACTCCCATTCACATCATCTCTCTGTACAGGCTGCTGTTGATGCAGTCACTAGAAATTTGGCTCTAGAATGGGGTACAGACTATGATATTAGGGTCAATGGTATTGCACCAGGCCCTATAGGTGATACTGCTGGCATGCGTAAACTTGGACCGGAAGAGATAAGCAATAAGAGCAAAGAATACATGCCTCTGTACAAACTTGGGGAGAAATATGATATTGCCATGGCTGCTCTGTACCTTGCTTCAGATGCTGGTTGGTATCTGATGCTTTTTAGACTTGCACATATATGATCTGATCAAATTTTAAGATATTAAATATAAATTGAGATAGATGCATCTTGTCACTGAATGACATGTTTCATATTAGGTGACAGACATTTTCCACTTCTACTCCCTGCTCTTGCCTCATCATCATGTGCATGTCCAAGTTTTCTACTGTGTGACCAGTTAGTGTCAGTTTCTTGCTACGAACAGCTATTGTCAGTTCTTGCTATCCACTTGTGGCATCTCTCTTCCTGTTCCTTATACTGGGTTGAATTTGCAAATGAGGACTCACTTTTCCACTCTTTTTCTCTCACTGGAGGTTGAGACTGACTCGACTCCAACTACCACTTCTACATTGTTCTTCCGGGCAATATGTGCTGCCAATCAGTGGGCCTAGTGTTTGTGCATTGGGCCTCGCTAAATCCACTGCTTTTGACTCCAATCTTGAATATTTTTTAATGGAAATCCATATGTGAACCAACTGCTCTGATCTTCGACCTTGAAATATGTATGTTAAATTCCATATTTAAACCAAACTGCTTTTAGCTCTGGTCTTCGAGTATGTGTACAGAAGTTCACATCTGAATACATTGCTTTTAAAACCGACCTCGAATATATATGTGAAAATTCATTAGTATTGGTAATCGGAAGGACCTTGCATGCTGCTTCAATAGAGCAAAGGATGCAGTGATGTTGGCTTCGAACCCGCCGTTACACATCCTGAACCTGTTACTGCTTCCGATGAAAAGGAGAGAGAGAGAGAGAGAGCTACCATTGCTTATCCTGTACTTAAAACAGGTTGTGCTCTCTTGTTGTTAGCTGCTAGGGTTGTTCAACAATCTTCCGTTTTTACTGTGAGATAAGAGTGTGTCATACTTCTTAGTGCTTGCATTGTTTGCAAACCTGATATTACTGCTATGCCTCCTCATTTTGTATTGGTTTCTAAATGTTTATACACAGTACAGTGCAATTGAGAAAAGCTCATTGCGTTACTGGAAAACATACTTTTTTCCCTGGAGAGCATGCATAATTCCCGAATCGTGCAGCATTGTGGAACATCCACTCTACCTGTAGTTTTTGCTAAATCAAGAGTTCAAATTAGAAACCCACAAATTGCTTCTTTCTTGTAGTGATCTCCTTTTTTCTTGTTTATGCTTCCTGTGTATATAATAGGCAAATACATCAATGGAACCATCGTGCCTGTCGATGGAGGACTCTGGCTTAGCAGACCTCGACATCTACCTAAAGATGCAGTTAAAGAGCTTTCTCGAACAGTGGAGAAGAAATCAAGAAATGCACCAGTAGGAGTTCCTCCCAGTAAGCTTTGAGTTTATCAACTTTACTTATTAGGCATTGTGGTTAAACAGCACATGGGAGCAATTACAGTGCAGTCGCAGGAAGGAACTTGTTGAAAAACTCTAGTATTCTTTCTGGCTAGTTTCGATTGCCATACATTTACATAACATTATTGGAAACGAGCTTATAAGCAATTGGACAGCAAATTATGTTAGTACTTTGTTTTTGTTTTTGTGTACCAAACACATTCAATATAGACGAGTGTTTCATTTCAGTTCCCTGGTTACACAATCAGCCATTGTTAAGTTAGTTATTAATTAAAAGAAATTTTGTCCAGCATGTCATAAAACTTTGCTGAAGCCGTTTGCACCTTCATCTCGTTCTATTATGCACAATCAGATCATTTAGAAAAAAAAGAAAAGAAAAAGGAAATGGATAGTTCAGTTATGAGAATACATTATATAATCATCACAGCTGAAAAGGTGGGAAAGAACCCAATTGGCTAGCAGCCTCTTCATTTGGCTGTTGCCTTGCGGAGTCAGCAGTATATTGGGTCGAAAAGATAAATATCTTCCCTCCCTCTGTTCTTTTCAGCAAACACAAGTTCTAAGAGGTCATTACTTTATCAAAGGATGCAGGATTCTCTCTGTTCCCAAACTTTTAAAATTCTGCTCCTAAGCTGCTCATCTAAAAATCATAGAAATATAACATGCTCCTTTTGAGGAACTATCACGCTGCAAGATCAAAGGTCAAGCATATTTATGCGCCCAAGAACCTTCAATCCCTTTCCTGCTAGCTCCAGTTGAGGCATTTCATAGCAGTACAATATCTACTCACAGCTAAATGTCCGCGCATTTAATTGTCCAAAAAATGTTCCATTCATTTATGAGTATCCTGACCTTTGCACATGAATAAGGGTTAAATGTCACCTCTTCTAGTACAAAATATTGCTTTATTTTTTCAGAGACATGGCTTCCTCAATTTTTTTAATGACCATGCTCAGACTGCATCCATTCTCAATAGCTTTTACAGCAGCTCGATGTGCATGTTTGTGCCATTTCAGCAAATTATAAGATTGCAACAGCGACCACCTTGCTTGATTTGACATCTGTTGAAAAATTTGAATGGTTTTTGCATTATAAAAGTAAAGAGTTACTAGACAAGCAAATAACTTTAACCAGAGAAAGACCTGTGCCATAGAGAGTGGGGGTTCCAGAAGAATACTGATGCTTCGGAAGAGATTTTCATCATTTTCTCCACCTTCAGCCTCTCCATAAATAAGAGCTTCAGCTGCAATCCCAGCAAATAGAACCATGCAGTACCTGACAATTTTATTTTTAATTACCTGATCTCTTTTTATCTGGAGATTTGACGAATCATCGAGCAAAGAATTAAATATATGGCTTGCAGAAAATCCAGAGAGCTGGTTCCAGCATAGAAATGTATTTTGTCCACAGAACAAATGTAAGCAAAATGACTGGCTAGGAAATCCACCTGTCAAATGTGGTACCACTTAACTGGCCTACAGCAAGCTCATTTTCAAGTTTTTCATCCCAAAACTGTGTTCCTGCCTGCATGAAAGAAAATAGAAGAAGATCACAAGCCAAAAATGAGCAAATTTTAACTGTTCAATTAGTTCTAAAATGGGTCCACAACCTTATGTGTGGAGGTTAACTTTGATTTCCCAGAAAACAAGAAACAAGGACAGCCACTACTGAGGAAAACAAAAATATAAGGGACACCTACATAATTATGTAACACTGTGCCGTGCAAAAAAAATTATTATTTATACGCCATTCAACCCCTAATCTTCAATAGAAAAATACTGACAAGACAACTGCAAGAGTCTATGCTGACACATAGCCGATACTTGTTGTACAACTGGTCCTCTCAATGGGTAAGCTTCTAGAAGCAACAATAACATATCAAGAGTAATCCCACAAGTGGGGTCCGGAAAATAACAAAAGGTTGTATAATGTCATGGATAAAATTGTTGTACAGTGTGTGGCATCTAACAGAATACTCTTTGTGCACATTCAGACAGAAACAGACGTCTTGAATTCCCATCTGCTCGTCTTAAAGACTTAAGGAGAAGGGTAGAGAAGTAGTTATCTATGTAATACGGTCTTTGTTGGCTGTTATTATAACAAGTGATCAGCATTACACTCTGAACAAGAGAGACAATAAGAAGGATCTACAGTGACATACCTGTCCTTGAATGCCCATCTGCATTGCAACAATTGGGTCTAAAATTACACCACGGATTGGACAACCCATTAAGTATGCTGCAGTCATATCAGTGGATAAATGAGTTACTATAAGAGGTAGGTTAGGCTTACAACTTTACATTCCTTCGAATGTTACAGACAATAAGTGCTGCTAGTAATAGAAAGGCCAATACTGATATTCCGAGCAGTTGATGCTGGGCTGATGATATCTATGGTATGTCATCACATCGAAACTTTAATATTCAGAAGTACGGATTGGCCAACATTTTAGTTTCTTTTCTGAAAAAAAAAAAGAACCTAATCTATCCTAACTTAAATCTCTGGAAGATGAATCAAATTTCTGAAGTTCTTTCATTCTATTGCAGTAAATTCATCAAATGTTTGCAGAAACATGGTTTACCAACAAGGAGATGGCCTGCTTCATGAACACAAATTCGACGCTTGTAGGGAGGCCAGAAGCTGGAGATTTGTGCTAAGCAGGAACCACCAAGTAATATAGCATCTAGCATGGCAAGCCCCAAAACTGCAGCAATGTTAGGCCTAATATCTATTCCTTGGTTCAGCAGAAACGTGACTCCAGCAAAGGATGTTGCCAAAAGAAAGCTAGATGTTCCAGAAAGACCCCACTTCTTTGGCGAAAGTTTGGTCACTGAACTACAGAAGAGTTAAAAAACATGTTACTAAATCAGTACATTTTCTCCTTTAAAAGGTCAGAAAGAAAATTCTGCAACTATTCCATGTAAATATGCAAGTTGAAACAATTTAGGTGCTTCAGAGAGCTGACATGGATTAGCACTGACCATCTAAACCAGTTGAATACTTTAAGACAGTTGGTGTGACATCGCGTGGCCCTTCCAAAACTGCAGATATAGGCACTGCTGTCAGGATTTGTGACAAAGAATATTGCAAAAACAATGATATTAACGTGAACTCTTTTGGAAAATGGGATAACCAATGATTTTTGTGCAGCAAAAACTGAATATACAGAAGTAGGGTTTCAGATTATAGTTTAGTCAAGTAGTTGAAGGCAATATCCACACATATATCGCTCTCTCTCTCTCTCTCCCTGTGCGTACGGCTCCAACATGTTTTTTTTTTGATAAGGTAAGGAAAAAGATTCACCAGCAAATCGTCGAAAATGTCAATGTAGAAATAGAAAAGATAAAGCACTTGAATGATGAAATATTCTCACACTTGATTAGAAATAATGAGTTTGGGGATTCTCACCTGGCCTATTCAGAATTTGTTTTCTAGGATAGGAAAGGATAAAAAGATATCAACAACAAATACTAGTGAGAAGTATCATTTAGTCTTGCATCAGTGCTTCCAAATTTTCCAATTTTGTTTGAGGTATCAAATTAGTAGACAATTGGAGTTAAGGGTTTACTTTACCAATAGCGTTGTATCTGGCGAAATTAGGCAAGAGACCTTTGTCCTTGAGAAAAGCATAAGCACTTCCAACAAGCCTCAAATCATCGGCATTCAAGCATGTATCTAAAACCTGCCACTCTCTATCGATTGGGGACAAATCCGACTTACCGATTGACGAGTCTTCTCTCAAGTAGCGGAGAGCTCGAGAAAGATCTTTCTCCTTAACTGCTTCCTCGTATTCCCTTAAAACTCTAATTTTTAGGTGACGATGACGAACCCCTTGCCTTCCGGAAAAAAAAGTCAGATGAGTTATGCCGGAATTCGGAACAATAGCCTTCATCCTCATCCTATTCCTATTCCTATTCCGACTCACATTGAAGCACGCAAATATTATATTGTTTGCAAAATTTGAAAGAAAAATAAATTAGTGGTTACTAACATCACATGTAAGATGGATCACTACTCCACAAATAAATGTAGGTGAATTTGAAGACATATATATTACCGAATAAGCATTAGAAAACGAGTGAAGTAAGGCTTATGAGGTAAGGAAAAACAAAAAAATACACACACCGTTAATGTTACTACAAGTTGTGCATACTTGAGTAAATAATTACAATTTCTTCCATACAACTATATTATGGTGATTAATTATTTGCTCTCGATAAAATATCATACATAGGCAATGTACGAGTTTTGCTATTGCTTTTATCGAGTTGCTTGTTTAGTAAATTTTTAAATATGTGATTTCATGTTAAAATCATGTATGGAGTTTTATATTTGTAAAAAAAATATAAGATAGAAAGTTCAAATTAAATAAAACTTTCTCATAATTTCATATCATATGGTCAAATTACCCTAGTTCATATGCAGTAAAATACTTTGTTTAAAAAAAGAAAAAAGAAAGGGAAATCGTTCATTTAAAGGAGTAAAATAGTAAGTTGAATTTTGTGGTGGAAAGAAAAGAATGAAGATATGTTTGGGGCAAAAAAAAGAAAAAGGAAATTAAACCTCAACCCCAAACTCAACGATAAGAAAAATCCCATTTCCAACCTCTTGTATTGCAATAATATAATATAATACATCCCTCTCACCACTCTCAGCGGCATTCGTTCATTCATTTCCACTAACACAAAAGAGAAAGAAAGAGATAATGGCATCAGCTACTGCTTCCCACACTTTGTGCGGCATTCCCACCACATCATCATCCTCTACCACCAACAAGTCTACCACCTATTCCTCTGCTCGCTTCCTCCTTAAAACTCCTCTCCGCCGCCTCGGTTTCGCCGGAACTGTCGCTGATCCTCTCTTCACCAACCACGTCGCGACCAAGCTCCGATCTGTCAAGGCCTCCTCCAACCCTGTTAGGGCCGTTGTCTCCATGGCCAAGAAGAGCGTTGGAGACCTTAGCTCTTCCGATTTGAAGGGCAAGAAAGTCTTCGTCAGGGCTGATTTGAATGTCCCACTTGATGATTCACAGAACATTACTGATGACACTAGGATTAGAGCTGCCATCCCTACCATCAAACACTTGATTGCCAATGGGGCTAAAGTTATTCTCTCCAGTCACTTGGTTAGTCAATTTTTTTTAATAAAATGTATGGATTATCTAGATTTTGGTTAAAGTATAGTTGATCCCAAAAGGGCAATATGTTAGTTAACACATTTTGTTACTTTTATTTATATTGCTTATTGAAATTTCAGGGAAGGCCAAAGGGAGTCACTCCTAAATACAGCTTAGCACCCCTTGTCCCCAGGCTATCTGAACTACTTGGAATCCAGGTACATCCTCTTGCAATTTTAATGCTTTTGATATACCAAGAAGATAATTAAGGCAAAAGTAATAGTTCCATGTAAACAGGTTGTAAAGGCTGATGATTGCATTGGTCCAGAAGTTGACAAGTTGGTTGATTCACTTCCAGAGGGCGGTGTTCTTCTTCTTGAGAATGTAAGATTCTACAAAGAGGAAGAGAAGAATGAACCTGAGTTTGCAAAGAAACTTGCATCATTGGCAGATCTTTATGTGAATGATGCCTTTGGTACAGCTCATAGAGCACATGCCTCTACAGAGGGAGTTACTAAATTTTTGAAGCCTTCTGTTGCTGGTTTCCTTTTACAAAAGGTCAGGCTTACCTATTGTTTTCTTTGACAAACTTAAAACGAATCTAACTGTTCATTTATCTGTTTCAGGAATTGGACTATTTAGTTGGTGCAGTTTCAACTCCAAAGAGGCCATTTGCTGCTATTGTGGGTGGTTCAAAGGTTTCATCCAAGATTGGAGTGATTGAATCACTTCTGGAGAAATGTGATATATTGCTTTTGGGTGGAGGAATGATCTTTACCTTCTACAAGGCTCAGGGTCTTTCAGTTGGTTCCTCCTTGGTTGAGGAAGACAAACTAGAGCTTGCAACATCACTCCTGGAAAAGGCCAAGGCAAAAGGAGTCAGTCTCTTGTTACCATCTGATGTTGTGATTGCAGATAAATTTGCTCCTGATGCAAACAGCAAGGTTTGCATTCTAAGCTTTTCTCTTGAGATTCTTTAGACTTGGATCAGAATTTGTTACTTATGGATTGTGTTGAAAATACAATTCCAGATTGTGCCGGCATCTGCTATCCCAGATGGTTGGATGGGGTTAGACATTGGACCAGACTCTATCAAGACTTTCAACGATGCTTTGGATACCACAAAAACAGTGATCTGGAATGGACCTATGGGGGTGTTTGAATTTGACAAGTTTGCTACTGGAACGGAGGTATCAATTGCCATTCTTCTCTTCATATTTGTTTTTTTAAAAAAAAATTGAATATAAAAAAAAAGGAGTAGTAAGCTGGTTTTTGATACGTGTGAATTTATTTTTCTGGTACATTTCGATAGAGTTGTTTCTGTAATAACAAGCATGCTATTGTGGTGATAGGCAATTGCAAAGAAGCTAGCAGACCTAAGTGGGAAAGGAGTGACCACTATCATTGGAGGTGGAGACTCTGTTGCAGCGGTTGAGAAAGTTGGAGTGGCTAGCGTGATGAGCCATATATCCACTGGTGGTGGTGCCAGTTTGGAGTTACTTGAAGGAAAGGTGCTCCCTGGTGTCATAGCTCTAGATGAGGCTGACGCCCCTGTTGCAGTGTAAAACAATTTGTACTAAATTCTTTTTTCGGTCAACTTAACTTAATCAGCCAGTTGGGGAACATTGAGTTGTTAATGTTGTAGATTTTCCAGGTGATATAAGGGCCTTTTTTCCCAAGCTATTTTATCTGTCTAAATAAAGGGCGTGTGTGTATGTATAGACAGCGACAACTTTGGTTCAACTTGTTTAGATGTAACAAGTGCACTTGACACCTCCTGCTCATGACATTTGTTGTGCACTTGGACATGAATTTTGATGAAAAGAAAAATTAAAAACAAGCATACACTGCAGTTTTAACTTGCCTATGATAACACTGTCTATGAATCAAATGGAGGACCAGTTCATAGTTGGTCTTCAACTAGCTAGTGGAGTATTTTTATTAGGCTTCACCCTACCAACCATCACGAATATATACATGTTGGATCTACACATTTCATGCCTGTTTCTTTACAAAAGAAAAAAGACAAGTTGAAACTCCCACCTCAATATATAATTTTAGAGAATTTTCGTCTTTAACCTACATGAACTTTTGCCCCTTGAGGCATAATTTTATACATTCAAACTTGAGTTTAGATTATAAACTTTTTAACGATATAATGTTCTAACTGCTACCTTATGAATTTCTTTTTCCTTATTCTTTATTTATTTTCAGCCAAATTTTTTCTTAGGATAAAGCATAAATATGTGTAATATGTATTTATAGCATAAATATGTGTTTGCATAACTGTGCTCCATAACAAATATAAATATGTATATTTTGCTATAAATATACAAAAGAAAATAGTTGTATATAATTTGTTTCCGTATACATATACAAAAGATCAATTGTATAATATGTGTTTATAAAGCGAGAACGAGAGAAAGACAAAAGAGAATTAGGCTGGAGAATGTGTTGTATTGTATAATTATAAGAGTATAGGACGAAAATAATGTATTTACATGTGTATATACAATTTTCTTTTGCTTTATACAAACGGAAAGACAATTTATACATTTTTGTTTGTATAAGAAGAGACTGGCGAGCGAAATTTGGGATAGGAAAACGCAAATATATGTGTATATACGACTTTCTCTCACTTTATAGAACTAGAGTGACGAGCGGCATTCACCTAGAGAAAGATGAAATAGCAACAATTTGCTATGAGGTACAATTTAATTAATTTGTGTTTATACTCACTCCGTTTAAAAAAATCCTTTTTAATTTGTTTTAAAAAAATCACTTCTTTCTTTTTTTTTGTAATAACTTTCCACCTGGCATGTTTAGTCACAAATTAAAGAACAATTTTGTACATCAAAAGTTTTATTTATTTTTAATCTCCGTATTAAATTAAACTAGACTATTTTACGAAATGAATAGAATAATATTTAATTTGGCATTATATACAATTTTTCAAAGATAAAAATTAAAGACACAAATAGAAATGGAAACTAGTGGCCCAAGCCCAAGCACATAATATTGCCCTAAACAATGTGCGCCACGGAAAGGAAAGCGAGTGCGAAGAACGCGCGAGGATATGCCCTATTTACACCAACATTCTAATCACTTGTAGACATCGCACCGATCATAGCATTGAATTCTCCGACGAAATTAACGGTGAGTTTCTGATCATCAGCTCTGATTAGCTCTGTTAAATGATTATTATCTTATACAGACAGATAGTGTTTTTTCAGATTGAAGAATGGCGGTGAAGAAGAGTGTCGGATCACTGAAAGAAGCAGATCTGAAAGGGAAGAGAGTATTCGTCCGAGTTGATCTCAACGTTCCATTGGATGATAACTTCAAAATCACTGATGACACCAGAATCCGGGCTGCTGTACCTACCATCAAGTACTTGATGCAAAATGGTGCCAGAGTCATCCTTGCCTCTCATCTTGTAAGCTTCACCCTCCTCTTTTCTAGATCTTAGCTATCATTTGGAGGTCCTTGCCCTCTTTCTTTCATTATTTAAATCAAGTCCAGGATAGATATTGCTTGACCGTTGGTTTAAATTCTTAAACATGCATTTGTTCTGCTCTTGTGCATTTTCATTGTGTTAAATGGTTCTTTCTACTGTGGTTTAATTGCTTCTTTCATTTTTGGGAGCCAACAACTATGTCTTAAGGAAGAGCATCATATATAAGGTTAGAGTAAGAGATTAGAACTCTGGATAAATCAGCATCTACAGATCAAGTTGTTGTGGTTTCATATACTGCTTTTGACAATGAAATGAGTAAACTAAAGAACTTTTCAAGTTGAGTTAGTAGGGGTTAAGCGGGATCTGTCTGAGTGGAACTATAAACATACATATAGAAGAGATATGCTGCACAGCACAATACCAAGCATAAATGGTGCTCTGGTTGTC